TTGACCCATTTGTATTTCGGGTCATGGAGAATCCAGGTAGGCAGATTTCTGGATCCAACCGCCTCTTGAAGCTGAGGCATCCCCTCCGCCCATCAGCCGGGGTGGGCTCAATGTGCAGGCGAGTGCGAAGATGAGAACCAGACACGGGGGGGGGGTCGGGCGGGGGGTCGGGGGGGGGGGGGGTCGGGGGCGGGGGGACGGGGGGAGCGGGGGGTCTCCAAATGAAATTCCCTTAAAGGGGGTGGGCTTGCCTTCGAATTCCCTCTCAAAGCCTCAAACAGTCAGACATGCACCAATCGAACTTGGAATGGCTGTTGGGTTCTGGCAGGGGAAGGAGTGCCATGGTCAAAAGAGTATTGTACAAGGCGCCTGGTTTCCTTTCAGTTGCCCTTTCAAACCATTTGAAAGGGCCCCCCATTTTGAGGAACACCCATGTTTGCAACAAAGGGTTGGTATGCGGGGAACAATGACAACATGGCACACATGAGTTTCGCCATGGCCCAAATAAAGCGGCGGAAAAGTGTGAGGTCGAAGTTTGAGCGATTGGGCGGTCCTGCTGTAAGCCTTCAAGACATTGCAGGGCAACGACACACTGGCATTGCCAGACTTGGCTTGTGTTTGCTCTTTAATAAATGGTTGTTCCTTAGCTTCTCTGTCAACCAGATACATGTTCTCCTCCTCCAAATATCCGTGCTGTTTTTCTATGGCAAATCCTCCAGTATTACTCAGGGCTTGACATCCTACCCTAAACGGAAGGGCAGATCTTCGTCGCCCAGATTCGGTGTTTTAAACGGCGTCGATGTCCATTCGCTTTGGCAGGCGAATTGGGAGCCTCTCGGCCTGGGAGTCGATCAAGGCTCATGGGATTTGGGGAGTTGGGAGGGGGGGTTTCGAGCCCTGGAGATCTCTCCATTTATGGCGAGCCATTTGTTTTATGGGGAAGACTACAAAATGGAATTTTGGGGGCCGCCTAGGGACGTTCAGCCCTCGTTCCGGCCGTCGTAGAAAAACCACGGCCGTCGCGCCGCATTCCAAGTAGTGTCAATGAACCCATTTTACAAAACCCCACAAACCCGGCTTTAAACATTTGGTGATGTTTTAAGCTGGGGCGCTTGAAACATCATCCAAACACCAGCTGATCTCCAGGATCCCTTGTGAAGCAGGTGGTTTTTTGGACGCAACCCGCCTTCCTCCAAATAAGTGGCACGCCAGGTCTGGACAGGGGGCCGGCGCCCCATCAGGACGGCCGCCATAGAGCCGCCATACACCCCGGTTTCTGTGGGGAAGATGGGGTACCGCCATATATCCCTGATACAAGGGTTGCCCATTGTCCCCCCGAAGGGTAAATTGTTTGGGGGGAGTGGAAAACCTCTTGGACTTAACAACGCGACATGCCCACGAACACCTGGCTCCCCCTGCGAATTGACATGGTTCCGCAAAACGAGATGCCGCCAAAATGTGGTACCGCAGTTTTGGGGCATCCATGTTTTCCTCTGCATCCAGAGTGCATCAGTTTCTGGGGTCCGTTTCTCGGCGAGAGATTGTGCTCACATGTCTTTTGATTTAGAGTTGGAACCACCTCAGAAGTGGTGAGTGAAACATGAACCCCCACATCACATGTGTTCCATCTCGGGTTACCTCGTAAAATTCACCCAGAAAAGTGGCTCGAGCCGGTTTCACCGATTTATGTTGTCCATCCCGGGTTCCCCAGTAAAATTCACACCCCACATGGCCACAAACGATCGCTCCTGCGGTTGTGTTCAGCTTCTCAGCTTCAGGGGACCCGAGCTTCCGAGGTCCCGGCGCTCGGGCTCGGGTCCGGGCCATGTGCCCATCGGCCGGGCCGGCGGAGTTGTTGTTGTTTTTTTTTGGGGGGGGCTCGCTGTTGGCATCGACAGATCCACTTCGAAAGTGCCGTGTTTTTTTTTGGTCGGCTTGGCAGAAATGCACGGGTTTTGCAGGGTTGCAGCTTTGTTCAAGTCTCTGATGTTATCGATTTTCGCAAAAGGACGCCTGGGCTCGCGGCAAATTTGTGAATGAGTTGGATGCGGTTATGTTCCTTTTGGTTTCCATGTCGAACCATCCCCTTTTGTGGTTGTTTCAGACACACATGTGCCCCTACAGAAACTCAGGGTCCAGTGGCGCCCTGGAGAGGGTCAACTACCAAACAAAGAGTGCCCCCTGTTTTTTCCCTCTAAAACTCTGGTTGGGGTTGTTAGGTGTTTTGACCATGGCGGGTGTAGAAAATTATGTTTTTCTCACTTAGCGACATCAAGCAGCCCTACGACGATTGCTTTCGTGGGACCAACAAGCATGCTCAAAAGGTTCGGAGTTTCATCCACCTGCCAGGCATCAATCCTTCGATCCAGGCGAGGTTGCAATATCCATTCCGTGCTCTGGGTGAAAGTGCCTTTAGCCATGAAGTATATGGGTGTGCTTCTTTTGAGTTGGTACCCCTTGTGTGGTGGTTTTAACCTCCAAAATGGTCTTCCAAAGCCAAGTGATTGCTGACGGGTGGGGGCCCGATTCGAAGAAAGCGTATATTTACAGTTGTAATGTGAGTGTTTGTCTTGGTCTTCATGGAATCTCGCCCTTGTTTTGGTGGAGCGTACCGGGAAATGCTTCAAGCACATTAAGCCAAATTGGGGACCATCACTCCGACCGCTAGGCTCAAAGTGCCATGCTGCGGGAGATGTATCCCAACGTGGCAATGGGAGGCGCCGTGGGTGAAGGCATCAAGAGGATAGAGGCCTAAGCGAACTATGCAAAATATATGACCCTGAGTCAAAAGGCCTGAACATAGAGCGAACATAGGTTGACTGCATGGTTGCTATATAGTTATAACTTAGCCTCCCAAGGGCGCCATGGAACCCAGGAATTGAGGAACGTGGCCCATAAAAAGCGAGACCCGGTGCCAGAAACATGCGGCACTCATTGCTCAAAGCCGCTCCCGGACTTGTTCGACAGCTCAGAGCCTCGGAGCATCTGCTGCCCGGAGCCACGCGGGATGTGTCGTTTCGGTCGATGTGTCGACGTCTTTAGCCGCGGCCTGTCGCGGCTATGGGAGACACATTCGCCGTCAGATTTTTTTGCTCGGAAGCCCTAGGCAAGGTTTCTTGGACCTCTGGCGTTTGCGGGGCAGTTGAAATTTCCCTGTCCCCACTCCAAACTGGAAGTGGAGGAGGGTACCCCCCCCAGACTTCTTGGTTCCACGTTCCCTTTTGTGGTTGGACAAATTGTTGGACTGGGCCCCTCTCTCCGGCCAGGGCCCGGTCCTGGTCCTCTCTCCTTGGGCTGAAACCGTCGACGGGATGTGTCGATCTCTCACCCGATGTCTCACTCGTTAATTTGCGGTTGTGTGGCGCCTTTGTTTTTTTGTATTGTTTCGACCAGCGGGTCCCCGAAAACCACGCAAAGTCTTTCAATACTCAGGCTTCCAAACTAAGATCTGATTAGATCTTGTTGTTTGGAGAAAAGAACGACTAGCAGACCCGCGGCCACACTGAATTATCCAGCTGCTCAAAGCAGACGGCACTCGTTGCTTGCGACAGATTTGCAGATTCACAGATTAGTGAGTCCGCAGCCAATTACTCCATTTGGTGGTACAGCTTGGCTGTCTCATTGCCAGTTGAATCCAGCAAAACGCCGTTTTAGAGCCCTCCAAGCTACACACACAACTTGACATCGAGCATGTGTTGCATTGTTTCAGACAATCTCCAGCCCTCGGCAAATTTGCGCAGGTTTCAATTGCAGGCCATGTATTGTTAGGCTCATTACTGCGTGCTTCAAGCGCGTATTGCCCGGTGAAAATCAGCCAAGCGGTGAGTCTTGTTCTAGACTGAGGGTCAGGAAGTTTGAATCTTGACACTCCCAGTGGATCCAGTTACCACCAAAGTAGGGATCCGTGTTTTTTGGATCTATGTTTACATATTCCCGCGGCTACCAACTACAGTAGTTGGCCTGAATTTTGATTGGGGATTTTTAGGTGGGCATGATTTACGCGTGGTTTTATGTCCACCAGTCCACCAACCACTTTTCGATTGAATGCCATGAATATATCCACTGAGACTTGTTGTACCTGATAAGTTTGCCTGACACAAGTCTGGGGTCATGCCCATACATCCGGCTCTTGCCTCGTTTGCATCCGCCATCAAACCAGCAGCCAAATGCACGAGACGGATGGGGTTGTGTTTCCTTTGGCCCATGTGTGGGTTGAGGGAGACCAAAAGGAAACCATTGACCCCCCCAGCATTTTACACCCAAGTGATCCTTTCCTTTAGAAAAAATCCTTCAATCGATTGACAAAATCGACAGCCTGACGCAGAAAATCCGAAAGCTAAGAACATCCTAGATTGCAGTCGTTTGACGTTTTGGCGTGTGCCAACTATGCGGTTGGAGGCGCGGAACAGGCTGAAAGATGTGTGCATGTCTTACAACCCCCCCAACTGGGTGAATTCTGTTTGATTTTGATTTGCCTAAGACAACACATTTTTTGTTTTTCCCGGGTTCTCCCTTTTTGGTTGGTATTTAAAGGAAGCCAAAAGGACAAGCCGCCATTTTGGGGAGGTCGGATTCCTAAACACAAAGACCCAAATGGAGGGTACACTGCAGAGACACACCACAGTCGGCCTGGGGCCTGGTCGGTGGCCACCCGGCTGTCTGTTCACAGAGTGGATGAATCGGCGGTAGGTGTCCCGTTGGGTTGTTTTGGTGGCAGAATAGATGGCCCTGGTTTAAATCCGGTGGTGAACAAATCATCTACCAGGGCCATCCGTATCCCCTAAAAGGACACCCATGGTGATGTCCCTCCGGGCTCCGGAGATCGCTTCGGGGGAAAAACCCTGGAACAGATCTTCGGTGGGCTTGCGCCCTTGTTGAGTACCCCCCCGCAAATGCCTGCGGTTTTTTCCTTCGGGTTTCCCTGGCAAGGCACCGAACACGAGGGAGGGCGGGGGGGGGGGGTAGACGAGCCCTAGACACGAGCCGCCCAACTTCCGCAGGGCAATGGAGCCAGCAGCCGAAGCTGCCGCAACGCCAGGAAGGTGCAAGCTATGGACCGGGCGACAGGTACCAGGTTTGCCCTTGGACTAAAATGGCAGTGGTGGTCGAAAATAGATAATTACCCAAAATGGCGCGAGCCCTGGTAAATGGAAATAAGTTGAGTAAAACCTGTGGTCCAGTTGCCGGTGGTTCATTTTGACCCATACCCGAGTGATGGTCTATCCAGTGTATTTAGAACCTGGGAGTTGACCAAGCTCCTTCTTTTGCTTCATGCCATACGAGCCGCGTACAATATTTGCCGTTTGCTCATTCTCATACGTTGATCAAGCCCTTGCAGACCAGTCAGTCAGGTTGTCTGCCGGAGGGGTGGGAAGGCCATATCAATCAAAGAACACCCCCAACAAAACAGGGCTCCTTAAAAGATACGTTTTGCAACCATTTGAACCATGGCTTTTTCCACCAAACTAAATGGAGACACCACCATTTACAAGGCAATGTTCAGGTGTATAATGTAAGGATCCCTGCAAAAGAGTCTGCCATCCACTGGCCATGACCAGGAGACTGTTTGTTGTCAAGTTTCATGATGGTTACCATGCCACGGAAGACTAAGACAGATGCTGAACACATATGTCCATGCACTTGACATGTCCTCCCAGCCCGCAGCTTGTCAATAGTTTGTGGTTTTGCTTGCTAGTCTTGGCCTGTTTTGTTTGCTTGTCTTGTCTTGTCTTGTTTTGCTTGTTTGTCTTGTTTGCTTGTTGGCTTGTTGGCTTCTTTGCTTGTTTTGCTTGTTGGCTTGTTTTGCTTGTTTGGTTGTGAATTTGTTCTGTTTGCCTCTTGTCCGCTTCTTTGGTCCTTGTCCGTGCCGTGGCTTCTAGAAGCGCGGGATGCAGG